GAGGCGCCTTGGCCCCGGGAAGGCGCGCGAAGGGACTGGAGGGACCGCAGTCACGCCACGTCTCCCGAGGCGCGGGGGGGGCGGGGTGCGGGCCACGAGGACGGGTCATCTCGGACCGCGGGATGGAGACCTTGGTTCGAATGAAATTCAGGGCGGTCTTGGATTCACCCGGCTGATTATTAGCTGCTAATTAAACTTGGGGAGCTCCTGCTACGTGCCCGCAGCGAGTGTCACGCAGTCTTTACCCACAAAGTGAGGGAGGGGGAAGGGAGGACCCAAGGCCCGGCCCGGGGAAGGTTACGTTGTACTTGACGTCCTTGACGCCTTTTGAAACCCTCCAGAGCTGGGCAGTTTGCATGGGACCGTGCTGAGCGGGGAAACCCTCTAAGAGCTGCTCTTAGAGGGTTTCTGCCAGAACGTTCGTTGAGCACCTACCATGTAGCAGACAAGCTTTCCTGGGCACTGGCGAACCAAATAAGTGCCCTCGTGGGCTGATGGTAGTTTAGGTGCAAAGTCTTTTAGCGAGGAAGGGAAAGACGCGGTAATCAGTATCTTGAAACCATTATGCTGAAGCAGTTGCCCTGCAAGGTCATGAAATTGTCCCAAGGCCCTAAGGAGAAGAAGGAGATTTAAATGTCACCTGTTAACTGCCTTGCAAGTTCTAAGGATTTTAAACGTTGGTTCCGGAAAAATAATTGCGCTTTAGGAGGCCTAAGAGTAGCCAGATTAAAGCTGGTTTGTGCTGGTAACATATAACAGAGTGGAATATCTTGAGGCTAAGCAAGAGTGGGAGGATTTCAGACAGGATTAAGGAGATTATTAGGCTGTATGTAGCAATTCTCCGGTTTTACAGCACTGAACTTGAATTTTGTATCCTTATTTATGTGAAAGGACTGTAAAACATTAAAATGAAATCGACATGGTTTTCATTAAGCAAAGAATTTCTAACAATTTTCAGAGTAATGTAATTAAATGCTATGTGAAATAGCTACATAAAAATGTTGGCTTTGCCTTAGATGTCAGGTTTGTGGGAGTTTTTTTCCTAATATTGAAAAAGTATTTATGGGAATGAAGAAGTCGCCATAAGTGAAACTTTCAGTCATGTAGGTGGTACTGTTTGTTAACCACTCAGCAGACATTTGACATTTGTTAAGTGCCCATGCTGCATCCAGTCGGGGTTGTGGAGAGTGCTAACATGTGGTGGTGAACAAACAGACATGGTCTTAGCTCAGTGGGACAGTGGGTGGCATGCAGGGGTGCTCAGAGACATCAGCTCTCCTCATCTCTCTGTGCGTTAATGTTAATGGTCAGTGTTCTTAGAATCATAAGTGGTATCCAAGTTGATCTTTAAAAAATGCAAAGAGTTCCTGGAACGAGGACAAAATATTTTACATAAAACTGTAGAAATTATTTTTTTTAAACTCTGTAAGACAATTCAAAGATCTTTTAATAAAGAATTGTTTTAAATTAGAGTTGTCTCTCAGTCGGAGACAGCTACTGGCAGGACCCTAAATTGGGACCTCTCTCAGCAAATAAAACTGATCTTCATCCCTTTGGAATGTTGGTTTTAAATTGATCGGTTATGAATATTCATCAGACATCGGAGTTCCACTGTGGAAAGCATATTCTATGCTCTTTTCACATTTTCCATCACTGGGTGCCTGAACTCTTTCTTGCCTCTTCTGCCTCTTTGCTTCCCATTCATTACAACTGCTTTTTTAATTCAGATATGAAAACCATCCTAATATTTCACACTCCACAATTAATTTGGACAGGAAGAAAAACACCTTCGTTTTAAAAGAGCTGTGAGGTGGCATTTCCTTGGTTCTGTTTTGGTTATTGAAGGCTTTTAAATGTGCAGTTTGTTACTGTGTAGTTTGTTTCAGAGGGGTTAGGTGCTAACATTAACTAAACATGAGGCTTACTTGACATCCTGATGAAATTGTTGTTTAGGGGAACAGAAAGAACCCTAAACTTTCAGAAATTGAAGCCGATTTTTAAAGAAATGGAAATAAGAAATTTAGGGGATGAGTCTGGTTTTTCTGTCTCAAATTAGGGGACAGTGCATTTCTATTTCCTAGTCTTCCACATTCTCTAAAATGGAACTATTTCAAAGTGGTAGAGCAGTCACCATATATTGAACTGTATACATCGAAAAGGAGGGGAGATGGCATTTCAGGAGGGAAAAGGGAGAGAGTCACCTGCGACTGAGAGAGCAGATAATTTACTTAGAAAAATGGTGAGGCAGCAGGGTGTAGTATACGAGATGGGCTGGAGCGGAACTGCTGGGGGTGTATCCTGTCTGCCACTCACCTGGCTGTGTGACCTTGGACAGTTACTTGGTGTCTGTCTCTACCGCTTCCTTATCTGTTAAGTGGAGGTAATGATAGTACTACACAGTTAATGGTGAGCGCGAGGATGAAGTGAGTCAGTGTTTATAAGAACCCAGGGCAGCGGGAGAAGGCTGCTGCGGGTCCAGATGTGTCCGTTGAAAACGAGTTTATAATTAGTTTCTACATAAAATCCCAAGTGAGAAGGTTTCTTGCACTTGCCAAAGAAGACTGGACGGTGGGCGGCGGATGGTGAAGAAGTGCCAGGGAGTCATTTGGTGGAGGCGCAGGGGATAGACTTGGGGCTGTCACGCAGGCATTCGATATTAGAAGTAGACAGAATTTTCTGTTCCTTAACTCTTAGTGGATGCGGCTTCTTCCTTAACTTTCATTTCATACAGCGTTTCTAAATTCCTTAAAATCCTCTCGGGCTCTCCACTTCCTTTGCTCCGTCACTCCTCTAGCAGCCTCGCTCCCTCCTCCACCTCTGCCTTCTCAGCTCTTCTGACAGTGCTGTGTGGTCACAGTAGGTCATGGTAATCCAGTGATTTTCCCATCCACTGCATTCAATACATGTTTTCATTTGCAAAAACTGTGCATTCCGTAGAGCAAGCTATCCTTAAAGAGAGTACAGATCGGCTCACGGTTGTTCTGTACTCAAATCGTGCTTCAAAAACAAAGTTGTAACATAGATGGACATCTTTGGAACTAAATAAAGGCTAAACATGAGAGCGCTTCAAGCTTCAAAACAGGAAATTAGGACATGCGCACAGCATAAAGAAATCACAGACGATGTGATGTCGCACCCTCACCAGGGATACTGGCGGAAACCAGAACGTTCTGTGTTCGCCCAGGTATGGCATCTGGTTCACATTTGTTCCATGTCATAGTCTCTGACTAGAAACTTGTGTCAGTTAAATTGGAATGTCCACCTAAAGCCACAGTGTCCAAATGTCACTCCTTATAATCGATAAATTTAGAATGTTTTAAGTGAAAAAGTTGTCACACCAAAAGAAAAAAAGAAAAAATTGTCCAAAAAATGGGGTCACTTTTCAAATGCCCTTATGGAAAAATGTTAAAGGAACAGTCATTCTGTCAGATGAGTCTGTACTCGAAAGAGCAGAGCTCGTCACTATGTAACAGCTTTAATCTTTTCCTTAGCGGGTTCATTCTTAGGACCAAACCTAGTATTTTCCGTACAATCTCCTTCCTCTTATTTTTCTTATTTTTTTTCAGCTGAGTAATACCAGCAGTAAGATACATAAGCCAAGAGATTTTTAAAGATAACTGTTTTGGTTATGACCTTTCAGACTTATTTTCATGCACATAAACACATATTACAGAAATGGGTCACATCATTTTATAACTTCATTTTTTTCAAAGTTATTATTAATGTTATTTTTTTTAGTACAATTTTAGACTTACAGAAAAATTGAGCGTGTAGCACAGACACTTCCACATACCCCCACCACACTCTAGTCAGTTTCCCCAGCAAGTGACACCTCGCATCATTGTGGCCCATGTACTACAATCAGTGAACCAGTACCGACACGTTATTAACGGAGGCGCATCGTTTCATTAAGGCCACTCACGCTGTGTAGTTTTACGGGTTTGGACAAATGCATAATGACGTGCCTGCCATTACCGCATCATACAGAATAGTTTCACCGTCCTAAAAGTCTCTCCCAGAAATCCTGGCAACCATGGAGTTTTTTACTGTTGCTATAGTTTTGTCTTTTCTGGGCTGTCATATAGTTGCAATCAATGTATAGCCTGTACAGACTGGCTCCTTTCACTGAGCGCTATGCAGTTAGATTTCTTTCATGTCCTTTTGTGGCTTGAGAGCTCATTTATTTCTGTTGCTGAATATTACTTTACTGTAAGGGTGTACCAGTTCGTTACCCATTCATTCACGCTGAAGGACGTGAAGTGTCTGTTCCAGTCTTTTGCCCATTTTTTATTTGGGTTGTCTGTGTTCTTATTGTTGAATTTTATGAATTCTTTGAATATGTTGGATATTAGCCCTTTAAAAGATACATGTTTTGCAGATATTTTCTCCCAGTATGTGGCTTGTCTTTTCATTCTTTTAACAGTGTCTTTTAAAGAGCGAAGTTTTTAAAAGTAATGAAGTCCAGCTTACCATTTTTTGTTCATAGATAAAGAGCGAATTTTTTAAAAATAATGAAGTCCAGCTTACCATTTTTTGTTCATAGATCATGCTTTTGGTGTTTTATGTAAACACTCATAGCCAAACCCAAAGTACCTAGATTTTTCTCCTTTGGTATCTTGTAAAAGTTTTATAGTTTTGTGTTTTACATTTAGATCTAGGATCCATTTTGAGTTAATTTTTATGAATATGTAGGATTGTTATCTAGATTAATATTTTTGCATATGGATGGCCAGTGGTCCAGCACCGTTTGTAGAAAAGAGTGTCCTTTCTCCAGTTAATTACCTTTGCTTCTTTATCAGACTGCAGCCGACTATATTTCTGTGGGTCTATTTCCAGGCTCTGTGTTCGGATCCAGTGATCTTCTACTTGTCCTTTATTTTGCTAGTACCATACTGTCCTGAACACTGTGACTTTATAGCAAGTCTTGAAATCAGGCAGAGTCAGTTCTCTGGCTTTGTACTTCTTCGTTATTGTGTTGGCTGTTCTTAGTATTTTGCCTTTCCACGCAAATGTTAAAGTTAGTTTATCGGTAACCACAAAGTAAGTTGCTGAGATTTTCCTCTTGGAACTGTATTGAGTCTGTAGATCAAGTTGGGAAGAATTGCCATTGAATCTTCCTATACATGAATATAGAATTTCTCTCCATTTATTTAGATTTTTAATTTCTTTCATGAGTTTTGAATTTTTTGTCATATAGATCTTATACATATTTTGTTAGATTTACATGTAAGTCTTTTGTGTGTTTATTAAGGTAAAATGTACAGAAGATTTATCATCATAACCATTTTGAAGTCTACACTCTGTATTTTTGTTTTTTTTTATTCAAAACCCCAATTGTTTATATCTGGTACAAAGGAGAACAAATGACTTTTGTTATGTATCCTGCAACTCTATTATAGGTGGTTAATTCCAAGAGTTTTCTTGCTGATTCTTTGGAATTTTTTCATAGACATTCGTATCATCTACGAACAAAGGTTTATTTCTTCCCTTCCGATGTGTATGCCTTTCATTTCCTTTTCTTGACTTACTGCAGTAGGTAGAACATCAGTATGATGTTGAATAGGAGTGACAAGAGACGACATCTTGTTCACAGTCTTAGGTAGAGGGAAAGCTTCTAGTTTCTCACCATTAAACCATACGGTTTTTTGCAGATGGTCTATTGGGTTGAAGTTGTTCTTAATTTGCTAAGAGGTGTTTGTATCAGCAGGACTTCAGTATGATGTTGCCTTATAAGTGGTCTTAGTGAGAAAGCTGGTAGCCTCTCACCATTAAGTAGGACATGATGTTAGCTATATGTTTTTATACGTGTTCTTTATTCGTTTGAGGATGTGCCCATTTATTCCTAGTTTGTTGAGAGGTTTTTGTTGTTGTCGTTTTTGTTGTGAAGAGTGTTAGGTTTTGTCAAATGCTTTTTCTGTATCTTTGATACGATTTTTCTTTAACCTGTTGATGTGGTGGATATTATTTGATTTTTGAATGATGAAACAGCCTTGCATACCTAGAATAAGTCCTTCTTAGCTGTGGGTTATAATTCTTTTTAATACATCCTTGAATTCAATTTGCTAATACTTCGTTAAGGATTTTTACATCTATGTTTATGAGAGATTGTTCTCCAATTGTCATTTCTTACAACATATTTATGTGGTTTTGGTACTAGGGTAATGCTGGCCTTGTAGAATTAGGAAAGTTCCCTAATTGCTTCTAATTTTTTTTTTCTTTTTTGGCGATTGGGCATGAACTACCATGTTTACTGACAGTTACAAATCTGTATCTCAAATCCTCCCGCGTTTCTCAGACCCTTGGGACATTTCCGCCTGGTCCCCCAGTCTTTTTAACTGAGTCATTATCTCCAGGGACATCACCCCACCCAGTTTGCCTGTCGTGGTTAATGACAGCACTGTCCACTCAGGTTATTAAGTTAGGATACTTCGGGTCATTCTTACTGTTTTCCTTTTCACTCATAAGAAGCTTACTCTCCAGTGTCTTGTTGTTTTGCTAACATCTTAGTCCAGCTTCTCATCCAGAAGCCACAGCAGCCCCTTATTTAGTCACCATGTCCGCAGTATTCCAACGTCATTTTGTGCTTTTCACTGCCATCAAGATACGTCACTGAAAAACTAAAGTGATTTGCGGGCTTATAAACACGCATCACCTTCTTACTCCCTATTAAATGTTATTACCTGGCCTGCGTCCCGGCTTCAGAACCGCACCCCGTCCCTGGGAACGCCCCGCCCTCCGCACGCACGCACGCACGCACGCACGGACTGGCTCCTCAGTCCCGGCGCTGCCGAGGCCAGTGCGGGACCCTGTTCAGGTCTAAGGGCCTTGGAGCATGTGCTGTCTCCCCTTAGGGTGGGACCCTCTCGTGTTTATCTTTCACTAACATCGCACTTAAATATATCAGTCTGACTTTCATGCACTGGCACTTGGCTTGAGAACAGGGCCAGCGCGGGACCCTGTTCGGGTCTAAGGGCCTTGGAGCACGTGCTGTTTCCCCTTAGGGTGAGACCCTCTCGTGTTTATCTTTCACTAACATCGCATTTAAATATATCAGTCTGACTTTCATGCACTGGCACTTTAAAGACTAGAAATTTCATATAAATTTAATGTAAATCTGAGTTTTCATGAATCCTGTTTATGAGGCGATAGTTGCTGCTTGTGATTGGAGACCGTGTGCTGGAGCACAGTAGCTGCTTGGTAGATGTCGAGTTGGAAGAGCTAAGAATTGGTTTAAATACACTGCTTTCACACGGTTCATCGTGTTAGAACGTGTAAGTGTGGTTTAATGAGCTGAGGAAGTCGCAATATGTAAATCTGAGTTTTCATGAATCCTGTTTATGAGGCGATAGTTGCTGCTTGTGACTGGAGACCGTGTGCTGGAGCACAGTAGCTGCTTGGTAGGTGTCGAGTTGGAAGAGCTAAGAATTGGTTTAAATACACTGCTTTCACACGGTTCATCGTGTTAGAACGTGTAAGTGTGGTTTAATGAGCTGAGGAAGTCGCGGAAAGCTTTCTGGAGCTGGCTGACCTTGATAGTTGGACAGTCTAATGGAAACAACACAGCAAAGACGTGGAAGTAGGCTAGAGCGTGAGCGGATACCATGTGGCTTCCAGAAAGGTCCATGTTAGCTGAGTGAATTGAATGAGGCCTTTGCCACAGGGTTTGGCGTCAGTATTAAGGAATTAAACACGTACACATATACGTACGTTCAGAGCCCTACATTTAAGAGATTCTTCATGGGGCATCTTTGAATAAACGTTGAGTTTCAGAGTTTTTCTTGTATAATGGAGCTATTTTTCAAAAAATTAAAATAACTTTTTAAACCTTTATTCTCAGGATCCAAGTTCGAAATATGGCAACTTTGAAAGATAGTAAGTACTTTATCTCAATATATGACTTAAGAGAAATGAAATCTTGACAAAAATACTTTTGAAAATGTGCTGCTTTAGCCTGTTACATATTTGGTCAAAACTGACAAAATGAGTCTATGTCATATGTGTGGGGCATTGAACTTCTTTTAGAAAAGACCAGTGGGAGGTAACACATGGCTCTTCTGATTCTGTCGTCTGTAGAACGATAATGATATAACTAAGAAAAACTATACTGTTTGTATATATACTTTAAAATGTTATGGAATGTGTAGTTAAAGGCCATGTTCAGTACCATTTAATGTTTTAAATGGATACTTTATTCTCTTATGTTGTCATTTCGCTTGTCAGGCCTGAGTAGCAGCTAGGTTTGACCTTTTATTAGTACTCATTCTAACAGTAAGCCCAGTTTAGCATGATGTGGTTAATTGATGGTCTAAATGCTAATTATTCTACATTGCAGTTCAGAAAAACATTTCGATAAGTTGGCAAATGAAATTATAACTCTTTTATCTTAACACAGCACTTCTATTTTTCAGTTACCAGGCGACTAAAGTCAATCAAAAACATCCAGAAAATTACCAAGTCTATGAAAATGGTGGCAGCAGCCAAATATGCCCGAGCTGAGAGGGAGCTGAAACCGGCTCGCGTGTATGGAATAGGATCTTTGGGTAAGAGAACAATGTGATTGCGGATTCTGAAGAGCACTGGCTTTTGTTTCGTGCTCACCAAGGTGATGGCTCTGAGTCTCTGACACACATCTGTTTACACAGCGCCCTCTGAGTGTGGGGACTGATAGGACCCTTGAAAAACTTTCTGGGCTGCTCAGTGCGCCGTGGAAAGAACTGAGAAGCACCGTGCATGAGACCGTGTGGCTTGGTGCCATCCGCGAAGTACGCGTGATGCTGTGGGCCTGCGGGCTGGGCGGGCGGTGCGCGCCCGGCGGTGGGGAGCTGGCGGAGCCATGGTGGTCGGGAGCACAGTGTTCAAACGTCAGCTGTAAACAGGGCGGTGTTTGCTTTTAATTTGAAGAAAATAAGCTTGTATCGATCTGTGTGTTAATGTATCTGTGTATGAGATGTAAATTGTCTCATGCACAGATATAAATTGTCTCGTGCAGTAGTTTTCTTGTGCTCTTCCTTATTTTTCAGACACGCATGTACACTGCTAAATACTGCTCTATGAAGATATTATAGAGCCATAGGCCTCAGTGGCAATGGCTCCTTGCTTTGAAATGCCATACTCAGTGTCACTCGAGCGGAGTTGCTAGATTAGGTTTTAGCGACCCCTGCCAGCTCCAGCCATCTGCTGTCGTGAGTCTCCTTCTCTGCCAAGCACAGTTCTAAGCTCAGTAAATGCTGGTTCGTAAATTATTCTCTAGCCTGTTTATGTGAAAGAGGAAAGCCCTTTCACTAGTCACCTTTCTTGCTGATGCGAACAAGTATAATAAATGTGGTTCCTTTCAAAAGTGTATTACCGCACATTATCTAATAAAGAAACTGGCTTAGAGATCTGATTATTTGTGGTGAAATAGAAAAAATCCGGGTCGAGGCTGCCAGTCAGCTTCTAAAGTCCTTCAAACAAACACAAATACTAACTGGTAAATATTCGTGGCTGACCATTTGTAAATATTTAAAAATGTAAAGCAGGCATTTTATGCTGTACAATATATAATATGAAAAGAGACTTAAATATTTCCCCCACTCCGCTGAACCCCGGAGTTGAGTGTTTACTTCTCCATTTTCTGCGGGGGTCCGGGTATTGGTGTTTGAGAATCGCTGCTCTGTGCTGGAAAAGGCCTGGCCAGAACCCCAGAACCCCGTCGCACAGGCTGCGCGTGGCACCTCGGAGACGCGGGAATATTTTGCCACAGGGAGCGCCAGCCACCGACGTCTGTCGTGTGTTCACGCTGGGCTGTGTGTCCCGCAGGCTGCTCCTAGCCAGCCGCTCCGCAGGGGCCGGGCCGGGCAGCATGTTCTCGGGGGCCTTTGGGACCTGCAGCCGTGCTGAGCTTCCCTTAAACTGCACACGATCCTGACACCGCCACCTGACCTTCCCGCCCATCCTCCTGGTGGCTCAGACCTGCCCCGTGGTGTGGTGGTGCCTCTGGCTTCCTGTTGTCTCTCTCCCTCCGCCATTTCTCCCGGTAAAGCCCGTGTGTGTTTCATCCTGCCAAATCCTCTCGGGTCCTCTGCTTCTTGGAAAACTAGACCAACAAAGCGAAGTTCTTACAGTGATCCCCCAAATAAAGTAGCATCATTTTAGCCTCAGCAGTTTTTGTAAAGTTGACATGCAGATTATCCGAACAGCTCAGGAAACTTTGCTTTCTACTTTTTGGTTGTAGACTGAAGATTTGCATTCTTTAGAAGTCTGATATCTAGGTAAGTTGGTACTTCTGTAACTCTGGCCTCTTTAGAAGTTCTTTCATTGTACTAGCGATTTCTTTTAGTCTATGTTCAAGATAGAGTGGCCACTAACGGGCCCTTAGGAGCATTTGTCATATAGAGATTTAAACCTTTGTGGTTTTCATCCTGATTGTAAATGGAATAAGTCCACAGGCACTTCAATTATATTAGGCAAGTGCCACCTAAATTTAAATGCTTCGTTTTGAAAATAGCCAGCTCTTATAAATTAAGGACTAATGTTGTATTTAGCATAAATTGCATATAAAATATCCGCTTCTTTTTGTTTGTTTTTAAGCTCTTTATGAAAAAGCTGACATTAAGGGGCCCGAAGACAAGAAGAAACACCTCCTGATCGGAGTGTCCTCGGACAGAGGCCTTTGTGGTGCCATCCACTCCTCTGTCGCTAAGCAGATGAAAAACGAGGTGGCTACACTCACGGCGGCCGGGAAGGAAGTTAAGATTGTTGGAGTTGGCGATAAAATTAGGGGTATACTTCATAGGTAATTCAAACATATACTACTTACGGTTAGAAGGGCGCAAGAATGAATAAATGGAAGTTTCTTCCATACTGTATTTAGCAGGGTGCCCTTTTTTTGGTTACCTGTTCTGTACTCATAGAGGGGTTTCCGTTTTATTTCTTCCAGCATATATTAGAAGATATAGGTTTTCCCTGTTTTCTACTTACCTTCGCTTCTCCTTTATCCAAACCATAAATGGAATGCAGTGGGAATATCAAAAGCTGCCGACATTTTAAAAGATGAGAACTGAACTCTGAGGGGCTGTCACAGCCCAGAAATGTCAGGAAGGAATGACAGCTCACTGGGCTTGGAAGGACAGGGCACAGGGGTAGGACACACAATGGGCTGACCACTGGTATTTAGTCCTTCGCAGGAGCTGGTGGGAAGCAGTGATCACGTACTGTGTGGAGCGACTTAATTTAGTGAACTCCCTGCCCCCAAAACACTTATCCATGGCGGTAACATTTCCTCCTTGTTCCCTGTGTTCTTTCAGCAGAATTATTCTGTTAAACTATGTTATGATCACTTTATTTCCTCGTAGGACTCACTCTGACCAGTTTCTGGTGACATTCAAAGAAGTGGGAAGAAAACCTCCCACTTTTGGAGACGCGTCGGTCATCGCCCTGGAATTACTAAACTCTGGCTATGAGTTTGATGAGGGGTCTATCATCTTTAATCAGTTCAGGCAAGAAAGTTTTAGAAATTAAAGCTGTTTTTTGTTTATGGTCGTGTTTTAAAACATGTCTGCTTAACGGGTCAAAAGTTCTTATTTTGAAATTTACATTTGTTTTCATCATTTCTAGGTCTGTCATCTCCTACAAAACAGAAGAAAAGCCCATCTTTTCCCTCAATACCATTGCGAGTGCTGGTGCGTAGTTTTGCATGACCAGTATTTTCCATGAAGAAAGGGGAGATTTGTACATTTAGGAAAACAGCGTTTCTCAGGATGGCCTTTTGCGCAGTGGCAAAATGACGTCGGGCCGTTTCTCTCACCCTCTGTTCGTGGCTTTCCTGATGTCTCCGCTCACGCATTGTTTGACAACTCTTTATTTGCTTTATTAATCAAACAAATAAACGTCTGTCGAGGGCCGTCATCAGACATGCTTTCTGTCCCCGGGGATTGAAGAGTCCAGCTGGAGATCGGCTCTGGGCCTTCGCAGGCGGCTCCAGCGCCACCTGAGGCTCCAGCACTCTGAACAAGCTCACGGCTCGTTCACGTGGCCCAGTCGGTTTCGTTCCGTTGTCTGAATAAAGCCACCGCTGCTCAGAGGAGCACCCTAGAAATGATGTTCTGGAACCGATTTCATTTTCCCGAGGCATTGTCCCCTGAGATGTACACTTGTTTACATTTTAACATCTCTGCGGCCGGGATGCCTCTCCCAGTCAGCGGGACGCCACTTTTAACTGGCTGTGTCATTTCCTTTCTCAAGGGCACGTCAGATGGCATGTGGGTTATAACAGCACCTTACGTTTGACGTGACGATCCTGTCACAGCGTTCCCTGCTGAATGAACTCCGACATTGCAGCTAAATTCCTGCAGCACGATGACTGACGTCCGCATCAGCCTCTCGTTCTCCCAGTTTTCCAGTCTTAGAAACGTTTTCCCTCTCTGGGTTCCTGACTGATACTTTTTAGTTTCTCCAGTAATCACAAGGGGAAACTGGGATTTTTGTATTACACTGTATTAGTTTCAGTTTTCAATTTCTTTATTGAAAGAAACATTTATTGAATGTTTGCTGGCTTTGTGCCAGGCGCTCAGCCAGACTCTCTAGAGGGTCTCATAACCATGAAGTGTAACAAAGTTACTTAACGCAGAATGGCCAATGTTCCGCGTTGGTGTTTTGCTGAAAGTCCACTGTGATGTGCAGTGTGGAAATGGATGAAACTCCTAGGGCCGAGTCTTGACCTATGTTATATGTACCTCTGCTGTGTAGTTATAAAGGGTTTTTACAAGTCAGCTGTTCTGATTAAATCGGTCTCTGTGCTGTATGGCTTCAGAGTTTATCACCTGTTTTCACAGAGAGCATGAGCATCTACGACGACATTGATGCCGACGTGCTGCAGAATTACCAGGAGTACAGTCTGGCCAACATCATCTACTACTCTCTCAAGGAGTCCACTACGAGCGAGCAGAGCGCCAGGATGACGGCCATGGACAACGCCAGCAAGAACGCTTGTGAGCACAGCAGATGCCCGCGAGAGGTCTCTGCACGCAGACCTCACACCAGAGCAGGGCCGTTCTTCCAGAGCGCCGGAAGCAGGAGAGCGAGGACCGAGTCCTGGGCTCTGCACTGGTTCTGTGAAATTTTTGACCAAATACCATCTTTCCTTGCTTGAATTTTCTCATCTGAGAAGATAGAAAAATAATACACTCTGCCTTAAAGGAAGTATATCTTTCTTGGTAGGCAGTAAGTTTGCAAGTCTGGCAAACGAATCCCATGGAAGATATTGAAATATCTTCTTGAAATTTTTTGAGAGGCCAATTTTGGTACCCTCCCCCAACCCTATCTCCTCCTCCCTCCCCCCGCCGAAAAACTAGGATTCTCTTGTTAAATTACATAAGCAATGTAATGTCTATGTGCAGGTTAACGAAGATGTTCTTTGTCTAATCTTTCCGTTTTCTTTGTAGCTGAGATGATTGACAAGTTGACTTTGACTTTCAATCGCACGCGTCAAGCTGTCATCACAAAGGAGTTGATCGAAATCATCTCTGGTGCTGCGGCTCTGTAAGTAACTGCAGATGGCCTGCGGAGAGTTGGTTCTCATCTCTGTGTCTGCTGGTTTAAGCTTGGGATGTTTGAAAGTTTTTGCGTGTGTTTTGTCTGTTAAAGAGGAAATGATCCATTAATCTTGTAACCTTGCTCTTAGAGCATAAAAATCTGGTGAGAATGGAATCTCTGTTTATTCTGATGGTTCCGAACTCCGTTTCTTCTTGTTAGCAATCAGTATGTTACCAGCTTTCACTTCACCAAAGTATTAGGGATAAGGATTTGGATAATTCAGTATCATTTATAAAGTTTGTCTTTGGAACTTAAAATATTCACAACCAGGACTGGTTTGGGGTTTTGGGTTGGACTGGAAATCTCTAAATCATGGAATGATAGTAAAGTCCAGGAATTTTTTAATTATTGAGTTTTCTGTATCAGTACCATTTTCCTTAAAATTTCTTGTTGTCTAGATATGTTAATGTTTGTGAAACCAGGTTAAAGTAGTGAGGATTCTATTCAAAAAATGATTAAATCGCACACCCATTAAATGCAAAGTCGAGTGCCGGGCTTAGTGTTAGAGAACATGACCCTCCTTGCAAGGTGTTAATGTTCTAGTAGGATAAAAAAAATACGCAGATGGTCGTGAGGGAGAAAAGGTGTTGCATGTTATCTTTGACTCATTCTCCCCTCCTAATTCCTCACCAAGTTCTCTTAAGTTTTTCTTTCTAAGTAGCCCTTGACTCTTTCTCCTTTATGCCCATTTAATGCAGATCCTTGTCATTTATCTGCTGCATAAGAAAAGATATTTTTGGAGAGCCTCTTAAGCGCCAGACCCTGTACGAGGCCCTGAGGATGTACTGGTGACAGTATTTGCCCTCAGGGAGCTCACAGCCCTAACAGGGAACACAGACAGCCGAATTAGAAATTGCAGTAGAATGGGGGTCAGCAGACTGCGGCCCGGAGTTAGGGATGGTTTTCACATTTTTGAAGGGTTATAAACAGAGAGACAGTGTGTGACCCACAAAGCCTAAAATATTTAGCTCTTTACAGAAAAAACGTGCCGATCCTGTCACAGTGGTCTGAGGGAAGTTAAGAGAACCGTTCTCTCAGGCATCCCAAAATCAGCTCAGCTTGACCCGAGCGAGCCAGCAATCGCTGGCCGCCGGCTCCCACTCAGCAGCCCCGTCCCCTCCACCACCCGTCCTGCCTCCCGCGGACCAGCCAGGTCTGCAGACACCTCCCGTTCTCGCACTTTCGCCTGAAGCGCCTCTTTTCTTCCCCTCGCACCTCGGCTCTCCGTCTGACAGGCCCCCCTTTGTCCTTCCCGAGCCGGGAGCCGTGCCCCCAGAGCACCCCTGCAGCGCGTGGGTGGGCACCGCTTAGCAGCCTCTGCGCCCACATGTCAGCGCTTACATGCATTAGGATGGCCTTGTTATTTGTCCTTCTGCTCCTGAGATTGGGGAGGGACCGTGTCTTAACTTCCATAGCCCCACGGCCTGGCACGTGCTTCCCCAGTGAATGTCCAGTGAATGATTGGCGTGCCATAGTATATTAAGAACTGGAAGCTCATTCAGAAGAGGGAGAAATGACATCTTACTAGGTGTGTGAAAACATGGGTCCGTGTTTAAGAATCAGAAAAGGTCATCAGTTTGGTGGACCCTGAATGGCCCCTGAGTGTCAGCTGGGGTAAGGGCTGCGCAGAATGCCAGGGAGACGCAGACAAAACTGACCAGGACCATGCCACGAGGTATCAGGTCCGTCAGCTCTGCTGTCCTAAGGGTCTTTCCTTCCCTAAATGCCGTCCGTGCATATTTCTCAAGACTAAGCCACCTCCCAGCCTGGCACTGACGTTCTCTCGGCATCGGGGAGTACAGAGCAGTGACGAGCAGCCTGCCACCTAACATCCTGCTAAACCGGGTTCGAATACTCTCTGCACCCGAGTTTTGCCATCTGTAACATAGGACTAACCCACGGGTCAAATAACTATGTCTTCCATTATCCGCGTGACATGCCGAGCTGATTTCTTGGATGGCAGGTGTGGGAGGGGGAAGAACCGCGTCCTTCAGGGCCGGGGGGTGGGGTGGGGTTGGCTGTGAGGCCCAGGGAATCAGGTTCTTTGTTTGCTCTTGAGAAGAGAAGGTGAGGGACGGTACAACCTGCGTGGAATTGGAGACCCGGGTCCTGCTGGGTGGCTGCAGAGAGAAATGGGGAGAGGGCAGTTGCGACATGAAAACTGGGAGTTAAAAAGGGAATTCCAACAACTGGACATTGACGTAAATTTTCACCTTCTAGAAAGGCCGTGTCCGTCCTTCATAAAGTTAGCCGCATAGGCCAGAGCTGGCCCGTTTATGTGAACGGACTCGCACATTCGCTCACTCGTGGTTATTCTGGTTAAAAACTCTAGTATTTAACAAACACATTTGGTTCTTAAGTAATAAAGTAAAAAGCATGAATAAACCATAATATTTGAGGTGTCAAGTACTAGTTGCAAGCCTAAAAAATGTTCATATATTGTGTGCTATTTATAGAAAAAGTAGTGATTTTAATATTTTCAGTCTTGCCTATTTGCATGAAGATGGTTTTATTGCTTTTAACCAGATTGAAATCTATAACTTTATTAAGGGTCGTTGCTGAGTCTGTTTTAAGACCAATGAGTGTGCGGCACACTCGGGGACCGGGTGGAAGTGTTTCTGTTTAGTTGGAGGCGAACGTGATTAACGAGCATGGACTGCTTCTTGACCAGCTTGTTTGTGTTTGTTTTTTTCCTTCTAATACAATAACCAGGGATTAACGAAAATCAAGTTTCGTCCTCAGACACGAGGTAAAGTGGTGACGTTTTACATGCTCTCCCCACCCCTCTTCAGAAAAGAAACCCAGCCGCTAAGGGAAGCTGGTTTAGCAGCAGTGACGCTGATGCTGACAGTTAGATGCCGGCCTGTCACGTGGCAGTGGCCGGGGGCGTGTGGGCGGTGCAGTGGGCTTTGTACCCTCAGATCGGTCTCGTAAACCACAGGGTAGAGAATGAGCACCGTGTCGAGACACTAAGTGTGGACCGGTGCAGAGAGCTGGTTCTCAGACGTTCCGGCCTCGGGACCTCCCACTTAACGGATCAGCTAGCTCATCGGCTTGTGTTCATTCTCTCCTGACACCACACTCAGGAGGACGTGGCCGCACGCTCTTGATACTGAGAACAAAACAGGCACATAGCATCGCCATGGAAACCATCTTGCCCTCACAGACCCTGTGAACGGCCCCCCAGACCCCAGTTTGAGAACTGCTAGTGTAGAGTAACAGCTTTATTATGTAAAGTCCGTTCTTTAAACCCCACTTAGGTATATTTATCTCTCGATGTCATTATTTTCTCAGAAACACTGCTTGATTTTTATTTGTTCTGTACTTTGTTTTTCAGGTAAAGAAGGAAAATCCAGCCACCTGATTTTGTTTTTAGTTTATTGCTGTCCTGGTCAGAAGAAATTATTGGTCCATTGTTTAAATTACTAAAGATGGCAAGATATTTGTAAATTACCTCATAATAAACAACTTAAAATAAGAAAATCACTGTCTTAGTATATCAGAACAACACTTACAGTTTTCGAAATGAGATGCTAAAATATTTATAATTACTAACATGCTACTATTAATTTTTTTGTTTGGTGGGAAAATCATTGAAGAGGCTTTTCTAAACAATCTTAAAAAGTCTGGCCTCTGGGGTCAGGGTGGATGCAAGAGGCGCCGGGCCACACCCGCAGCCCAGGGACCGTCCTTTTGTGTCTTCAAAGAGCAGCAACACAGCGAAGTAAAAATGCCGCTGGGGCCCCTTGCCGTTTCTCATATATGGGATGTAGGATTCCAGGCATACACGTGGCCTAAATAAACTCTTAAAAATCTCTCCTAAGCACTGAGAAACATTCCCCTGTGATATTTGCTCCGTGTTCACATGTAGATACCACCAAGATGCCTAACTGATTCCACGCCATGAGTTGGCCATGCCAGAATCTTGGGGGTTTTCCTATTTGCTTAAAATAGGGACTTTTTTTATGATAAAAGCAACATAATTTCTAAAAACATTCCAGAACTATAAAAAATAACATAAATAAAAGCTCATTCTCAGTTAACTGATGTGTATTACTCGACTTTAAAAAACCATTAAATACATATATTTAGAAAGAATTCAGATATTTTATTTTGTAAAATATAAAAATGAATTGAACAGCAATATAAAAACTAGTCAGCCAGCACAAGTAAACAACAGTAATGCCATTAAGAGCAGCTGGCTGCCAGGGGATAAACCAAATGAGCCCAGGGTCGATTCTAGCTCCCCTAAAACTACGAGCCACCTCGGGGCGGGCCACCAGGTGCAGCTGTGAAGCACAGCGGGCTGCGGGCGAGGCACTGGGCAGAGGACCCTGTGAACCAGGTGGCAAGTGCCTTTCAGGAACATTGGTGATCTTGATTCTGAACTCACCATGGTCCACCTCCAGTCTCCAGGCTAGCGGAACACTTCTGAGGATGAATCGAATGTTCTAGGCCATGGTAGGAGGGAAAGTGGGAATTGAAGCCTACAGTAACAGTTACCTCAGGCTGACTGGCACACTCGCGCAGGGGAGGGGGAAAGGGAGCGGTCGGTCACGGCCCTCGGGCTGCCCCGAGTGTGGGATGTCGTCGGGTGGTGTCCCCAGTCTGGTACAGACAGCCTGGGTTTTCTCTTTGCTTTCCTGAGAAAACAGGATAGCAGTTTAACAAACTTTACTCATGCAATCATTTTGTCATTATAGTTGCCCTGTTAGGACTCTTTGCAAAATAAAAAGGGTATAACTTGGGCGAACAATTCAGGCTTGCTCTTCACTGCTCTCCATGTGTGAGCTGCATGGCCTGTGCCCCGGGTCACTGTTCCAGGTTGATCCCGCCCCAGCAGTTACTCGTTAATTCCTACTGCTGGTTCCTACTGCTGGTCACCGGTTCTTGAGGGCTTCATTTGAGACATCTCTTCCTCCCGGCAGGACGCCTTCTCAGTCCCCTCGGCTCCCCCCACATTGGGCTGAGTGTCCCTCCTAGGAGCTCACCGATTATATCCCTTATATTTTGTCATTACTTTGTTCAAGACTTTTGATTGTATCTCCAGTTTAAAAATGCCAATGGCTGCTATCTAGAACTGATGATCGCTTTTACATAGTTCAGGCAGCACTTTATCACAGAGCCTTGCCCCGTGTCATATGTATTAACACTGATTCATTTAATCCTCATAACCCTATAACGGAAGTACTATTTTATCTCCATTTTACATACGATAGATTCTGTAATTCGCCCAAGGTTATGGGTGGGGAGAATGGCTTGGGATTCCAACCCAGGCTTCGCTCCAGTCCAAGCTCTTAACCACTGCTCTGTGCTTGTAAGACTACCTTTCCTGTGTGTGGTCGGTAAAGCAATCTACACCCTTGCTTCGTTTGATTTCTCAAGACAAAGCAGTGGGAGAGAAGTATCAGAATTCTAATACTGCCATTTCCCCCCATTCGGTATCGCTTTCCTTTATGTAATCAGATGGTATTTCAGAGTGGGAAAATCTTCAGTCTTATCCAACAGTGGGCACACAGATTTGTGACAAAAGGGTTATGTCACCAACAGGCAAAGCACTATTTCAATGAGGAAAAAAAACAATTAAAAAATAGACAATAGACACTATCTTTTCACCCATCAGATTGTTAAAGATTAAAGGTAGACAGTTTTAGAAAGTAGGGATAATCGATTTCATGTGCTGTTCGTGAAAGCTTCTAATCTCTTTGAGAGTAAGATTTGGCAGTCTATTAAATTTAAAAAATGGACAGTTTGTCATCAATTCCACTAATAGCCTAGTGTATGGAAGTACTCATACAGGTGTGCAGACTGTCCGAGGATGCTCATTTTGGCCCATCCTTGCTCATTCATTCAAGAAGGATGCTCATTCATTGAAGACCATGTGACATTTCAGAGCAATGCTGGTAGAGACCTAAAAGCTTTCAGAGGAAAACGTCGCAAAGGTTCAGAAGTCAAAATGGCTTCAAGTCAAGGAGAGGAGGACGCAGAGGAAACCTAGCCTACCGGCCCCCTGGTCTTGCACACCCAGCCTCCAGAACCGTGAGAAAATAAACATCTGTCGTTTAAGCCCCTCCCAGTCCATCATTTTCTTCCGGCAGCCAGAGGTGACTAAGCACAGTATAAGGTCAACACTTGGCAGGTTGACCCCAGGGGCCTGTTTCATCCTAGAAAGTGCAGCTGTTTGTATAATTTGGCCTTTCCTGCTCACGATGTTTGATATGCTCGGGTCCCACGTCAAGCTGTGTCACACCAAGGGAGTGACACATTTTACAGCAAAGGACGTTGGGAGTGTACACATGACCGTGAAATGTCATGTCACACACACCACACCACTCAGAAGCTGTCAGCCTGGCAGAGCCACAGAACAGCGAAAGCAGCAGCTTGCAGCCAGCCTAGCGAAGACGGGGCGCAGTCCCCCAGGATGCCACGTACACTTTAGGTCAATGACTTGTCTGTGGTGCCAGGTTCCCAAAAGGTAGACGACGTGCGGTGGAAGCCGGAGTTCCCCACTTTGCCCCACTCCCAGCGACCCACCTGGGAAATTGTCCTTGTCCTTGCAGCTCTGGCTGCCCCAGGTCGAGAGTGCTGGTTCTCAAAAGGGAAAATGTTTTCCTTAGGGGACAGAGAAGGAGTCCCATCGAAGTATTAGCTATAGTCGCCACCTGGGCACTTCGGCCAGGAAATGGCATGCAGAGAGGAGTCCCCGTATGGGCAGGAGTAACTGGCCCGTGTCGCCAGGAGGTCAGGCTGCTTACACAGGGCGAGGAGGGACAGCTGGCGCCCGAGGGGTCTGGCTGGGCGCCACCTGGTGCTCTTGCCTAATGACGGCCTGTGAACAGGTTTGGCAGCCACAGTCTGGAAATGGCATGGAAAGCTGGGGCTCAGACCTGCAGGTGATGGCCTGGGTCGTGCCGCTAGGTCAGCACTGACTGGTAGTGGTGCTGGCTGAGGGTGAGAGAAATCTAGAACGGAGGGCAGAGGAAGACGGATTAACGGAGGCCTGGCGGTGACAGCAGGGGCCATGATGTGTCTCCCGTCCTTCCTCCTCGATGTCTTCTCCAGGAAAGACGGGCCCCGCAATCCTGGCATGGCTGGGCCTCACACACTGAGAAGTGGGCCACAGGGTGCAAGGGGTGGAGCCTAGCTGCCAAGATTTGAATGTGTGTGTCCCCCCCAGATTCACACGTTGGAATCCCATGCCCAATGTGATGGCATTGGAAGGTGCCTTTAGGGTAACTAGTCACGAGCAAGGAGCCCGCTGATGAGGCCAACGCTCTCATAAGACCCCACAGAGCTCCCTAGCTCCTTATGAGGATTGGACAGAAGGCCCTCGCCTGAGCATGCTGGCACCCTGACCTCCGACCTCCAGTCTCCAGAACCGTGAGAAATAGGTAGGTAGCTTCCCCAGTTTGTTGTGGCCACCGCACAGAGTAAGACAGTACTGAACGTTGCACTGCGCTGCTCACATCCCCTCAGGAGCGACCACTCCCGCCTTCCCTGGAACCGGGAAGAGTCTCGGCCACAGAGCACTTCACCCAAGATCACACACCCTTTCTAGTGGAGCCCAGGCACAGGGTCTTACTGCCTCGGTGATACGGAGGGCCAGCCCCCTGGGCCCATCTCAGGACAGATCCAAAGGACCTGCCCAGCTCTCGGCTCCCTGTGGGGCCGGCTGAGGCCCCCCCATTGAAAGCACATTGCAGCCTCCTTCCCTTGCACAGGTGGTGATCCCAGGAGCACTCCGTAAGGAGGAATCGGCAGGCGAATCAGCTCAGAAGTGGCTTCCTGGGGAACAGAACCGGTGACAGCTAACTATGTAGGGGAATGTCCTTGTTTGGGGGAGATACATGCTGAAGTATTTCTGGGTCATGAAATTTGCAATTATTTTCAAGGTTTTCAGAAAAAATAGGGGCGTGTGTGTATGAATATAATAAATATGGCAAAATGTTGACAATTGGTGAATCCAGGTAAAGTGCATACCTGTTTATACTTTTCTGTTTCAGCTTTTCTGTAGTTGGAAATTTTCCAAAATGTGGCATTAGGGGTTAAAACACACACACACACACACACACACGAAGAAGGACTCGAACCTCCAGAAGTACTGAAGAAAAATTACGAGAGTGGGGTTTTGTGAAATTCAGGGTACAAGAGTTTGAAAATCAAGGTAGTGGTCAATGTTATCGCATGACTACAAAATGGTCAAGCAAGGTTAGATGTAGCATCGGAAAGGCCTCTGAGAATCTTGGGGTCAGAAAGATGAGTGGAGAAAATGATACAGGCACCCTGCCACCTCCTAGCATAGCACCTTGCTCCTTCCCTACAGATGGTCATTTAGCTGAAGTACCATATTTTCTATTGGGTTTTTAAGACTTTTTAAAAATCGAGTATCTATTATGTTAAAGGTTCTGGCACAACTGAAATGCCGCTCAGAAACTCACAATTTATTGCGAGAGGTACATAAACTCGAATACTAAATGCACCGAGATAGTTAAAAGACTAGAGAAACTGACAGCCAGATACAGAGGACAGCGATAAGGGAGGGGAAGGGAGGAAGGTACAGTCCAGAGGCTTGCTTGTTGGAAAAAAACACAAACGTACACATGCGCGCTCGCGCATATTTAAGAAGCAGTAAATTCAGCCATTACAAACCTGGCTGAATCTGCCTTGACCTTGGAATTAGTTTGCTCGAAAATTAAAACTTTAAAAATGTATTCCCAAAACTTAAAAATCGAGGTTTTTATCACAAAAATCCCCATTTCTGGCAAACTGGAAAGGTCTAGCAACACTGGGCTGCAGCAAGGAAAAGGCTCCGAGTAAGCGACAGTCCTCCACGCCCTCGGCCGGCTTCGCTGATTTGAGGTACTCATTTGGCCTCTCCGGGCAACTGACTTCTCTTTTCCTTTGCCAGTGGCTGGCGGACGGCCAAATCGGCAAACTGCGGCCTATTTTTATAAATAAAAGTATTGCTGGAACCAGGACCCGGATTAGAATGAGGTGAGACAGGAATTATTTTGGCAGCGGTTCGGACTTTTAAAAAATATCTACTGTATTAAAATATTACTGATCCTGAGTAAGTTTTCTGCTGCTCCCATAAATTTTGCACCGAGGCCAGGGCCTCACTCCCCCTAGTCCCGGTCCTACTGTGAAAGGCTCTGAATGAACGGCCTGCCGAACAGCTTGAACTTGATCCAATCTATACAGTGGTAACTAGATCAATTTGATTATTTTGTTTTGAGCCGATGCAAGACCGGATCAGAGCCGCGTCGGGGGAGCACTTAGGTTCGTTCCCACGCTCAACCCCGCTCCCGCGCTCACAGCCTCCCAGGTCCCCATTTCTCTCTAACGCATCCGCGATTTTAATTTCACTCCCGAGCTCCCTATTTCGCCCCGAAGCCCCCGGCGGTCCCCTCTCCCTAGCTCGCCCCGCGACCCCGCCCTCAGCGCGACAGGACCCGCCACCTGGCTCC